TTTTTTTCTTTTAAAGAAAAAATTTTTTCTTTCCCAAAAAAAAGTCCCCGCATTTTTTTTTTTTTTTTTTTTTTTTTTTGCTTACTTCTGTATATTTTCCTAAAGGCACCTGAAGCATACCCTTGGTTTTTGTATTTTAGCATTGCATTTACAGAAGTGTTGAATTGCTGCAGCAAAACAAAAAAACCCCAAAACCCCTTTGCTAAAAAGTCTAGATGGACACTACGGATAATTTTTTTGCAGGAAGACTAAAAGTTAAAATCATTTGGGTATGTAGTTAGCAGGTGTGCAGGTTAGGAGAAAAATTGTAATTCTTTGATAAATGTTTGAGGTTTTTTGCGTGGTCCTGGGCAGACAGTCAAAACGAGAAGTGGTGCATAAGAACCGTGTTTGCAGCCCCTTCCTGGCACACATGTGGCTCTCCGTTTTTTGCCTTTTGGCTCACAAGCTGCAATGCCAGACTGCTTTTGTGCTAGCTTATTTTTGCTTGCAAAAAATGGGCACAGAAGACAAATCTGATGGTGAGTTACTGCTAAATTGAAATGAGATCTAAAGTAGCCTTGTCCTGTTCTATGGGAACCTGTATTTTATGTACAGTTTTATAATGCACTTGAAGTCATCTTACATCAACAATATTGTCCTCTCTTCTCTCTTTGCATGTGCTATGAGAGAGAGAGTGCTGTTATGTGCTACTTGTGTAGAAATTGTAATTCTTCTCAAATACAGCTAGAAAGTAGAGATTCCCTAAAAGCATCCAACAACTTAGATCAGAAATCGGCTTAATGTCATCTTACAACAGAATCTGTAGGAGGGACATAGTTATTGAAACTGGAATTAGCTTAGAAAACTGTTATTGATAGCCATGATTTTTTCAGTATGCGTTTTAGCAAGCCTTGATGAAAATGGGCGTAATGACCCTTCCCCCTCTGGGGAGCATGTTTGCATGTTCTTAAGTCCAACAAGCATAAGAAAAAATTGAGTACCAGTTCAAAAGTTGAATAGGTTTCTCACTGTTTTCCTGTACTAAGGGATATAAATACATACATTTTCTAAACTGGAGATGTAAGAAGCAAGCAAGTTCCAAAGGAAACTGGCTCATCAATTACATTGGGGGGCAGCTGTGGATATTGTCATCCTCTGAACAGGAACCCTAAGCTATTGGACTACATTGTGTTGGGAATGTATTGTTGTCTGTGGTTTCTGTGTGACTGGCACAAAAGACAAACATGCCCTTTAAGAAATTGCTCAGCTCCTTGAGATTTACCCATTCATCTGTCCACCCTTCTCCCACCATCTGTTTCTTTAGCTGTGGACATGTGAAGCTGCTCCATCCCTGCAGCAAAATGCAGCCTGGATGGTTCACAATCAGTCTTTCACATGAAGCAGAGTTTTCCTGTCTTTGCAAGCGCAGATGGACTTGTCTCTCTGTCAAGGTGTAGCCCTATAAAGAAGCTGGGTTTTGTATTCCAGCTGCACATCTGCAAGCTTCTTCAAGACACTACAGACCTGTATTTCTTTGTCTCTAGGTCTGGGATGCCGGGCTGGAGGAAGAGCCTTGTTTTTTGTTTGCAGAAGATGCAGGGCAGAGGTAAGGCAAGAGGAGAATATGACAGCGAAGGGGGAGACTATAATGTAGGGGATGCTCATGAGAAGGGGTTGGGTTCAATGCTCCTTTTTCTACTCGTTGATATTGCTGAAGCTGCAGGATCTATCCCCAAACCTGTAACTTTTTATTTAAAAAAACAAACTCACCATGTAGCTTTCTCATTAGAAAGCATATTTTTAACTTGAAATCTGTTCCTCTTCCAAAGTACTGGTCCAGATCTCCATGAGATTGTGGTTAGTGGATGCATGCCTGCTTTGCTTACAGCTCTGTCTTTAATCTGAACCTGGCCTAGCAGATGCAGCTTTTACAGTGCTAAAGTTGTGTCTATTAAAAGGCATCTCCCAGAGCATAACAGTTGGGAACTTTAAAGCTCACGTACCTACTTCATGCTCTGTTTTTCTTCTTTTAAAGAGAACACTGGGCTATTGATTGTGTCAGGTAGATAGACACATGCTCATTGTAGCTGTAACTTTCCAAAGAGGCTACTTTCTAGCTTTGAGTTTAAACCCTGTTATTTATGTTCATTTAGTGTCATGGTGATGACGTGAGCCGTATTTATATCACCTTCACTGCTTGTGAAATGCTTCTGTTTATATCCCGCTGTTTGAGCTGAATTATTTTAAACCAGCAGGCTCATGGCAGCAAATTCAGGTTTTCTGACATGGTGGCAGGAATCTGGGTCCTGGTAGCACATTGCTAGACTGCTTTGGAGGAGGGGGGATAATTTATATTTACTAGTCCTAGCACAATATGGTTGAATTGCTGTTGGTGGTTTTTAAACATATATTGAATGGTGTCATTAAAGTGTGAACTGAGTGGGATTTCAGTTCAGTACAAAACAGCATGTTTTTTTCCCTTAGAACCACAGAAAACTACCCTGAGGTTTCTCGTTTGTCTTCTCAGGCTAGAAATGCCAAAGCATGTGTTTGTTTTAAGAATAAGTGTGTGTGTATATATATATATATGTATAAAATCTTTGTTCTGTTGGTTATCAATGATCCTTGAATTGCACTTTGAGATGCAGACATGAAGACATCCCTTCTGCACACTTTCTGTTTATGGAGTGTCTAGCTCTTGACACTGAGCAGAAGATGGGCTGGCATAATTGAGCAAATTATGGCTCCATGTGTGATTTCCCGATGCTTTGGAATGATTAAATCTACATACTTGGGCAGGACGCATCTCTGGCATATGATCATTTTTACCTTGATCCACCAGGGAGATTTAAATCAGTGTAA